CTCAGTCCATGACAACAGACCCTAGTGTGCAGACCCATGTGCTCCTGCTGCCGAGGGTCCCCGGGACCCTGACTCCAGAGGCCCTGCCCCGTGAGAGCTCTGGTCCTCACATCTGGGCAGCCTTTGCTCCTTATTCTATGACTCACAGGATGCACTGAAACAGGCCCCTAGGTGTGCTCAGCACAAGAGAACCAAGGGTCACAGAGCACCTTCTGTGCCATGTCACTTGGTCCTGACAGCGACCCCACAGCAATGCTGCCAAAGGACCACGCATGAAAGCACTCAGTGTTACCTTCTGCACCTCCGTCACGTACTGGGCCACCATAAAAGGGGAAAACACGGTGAAGTCCTCGGCTCGTGCGGCGATGTGGCTGTACATCCGTTCCACCAGGCGTGCGCACTCCACGACCATGGGCAGGTCATCCGTGCTTCCTACAGAGAACAGAGTCCCTCTGATCAGTTCCATAACAGTGCGATACAGTTGGAGATCATCTCAAACCTTCCATCTTTTTCAGACTCTTTAATTGGCTTATTTTGCAGATATGATACGGGAGAAAAGATATGTCTAAATATTTCTCTACAAAACAAAGGGAATTGGCCCCAGGTATGGNGTGAATCAGCAATGTGGAGGCGAGAAGGACTCTTTCCCCAGAGGTTTAGAGTTCAGGTAGAAACCACCATGAGGAGCCCAGGGACAGGTCGGGGACGTGCAGGGACAGCACTCCGGCTGTGCGGGGAGGACATGAGTCCACCAGACACCTGCGTTCCCTGTGAAGACCCCGCATGCCCCCACCAGGACGCCCAGGGCACTGCTCCGTGCATGTCCCCAACCAACATTCCCCAAGCAGGGAACCCTCACCTCCCGTGCTCCAGCAGAGAAACCAGGCACAGCTCCACGAGGGCCTCCTGCCTGGGCCCTCGACCCCCAGGGAAGACCCACTCTGTTTACTGCCATTGTCCCTGGAAGGGCACCCGCTGCCCGCACACACCATCTCCAGGTGTGAACAGAAACGCCGCCAGCCCCTGAGCTCCCGCAGGGCATTCGGTACCCACACAGGGCAGTAAGCAAAAGGGTGCCAGGCCACCTAAAACCTTCTGTTTGCCAGCGCTCCGGAAGCCTGTCCGCACATCTGTCCAGACAGAGGAAGGGACCACAGACACCGTGCGGCAGGCCCAGCAGGACCGCGTCCCAGCCTCGCCAGCCACAATGGGAAATAAGATCACACTGGGGCAAAACGCATGGGTCCTTCTCTTAGGTGCTCCAGTCCCATGCATGCTTGAGAAAGTCGTGTGACAGCAGCAGCAGCCTCTGCTTAAGGACAATCCTGACTGTGAAGGGTAACAGAATTCCAACACGAATTCCACAAAGTCAGCGAACAAGAAAAATGGAAAAAATAAGAAAAATATCCCATTGAGAACCAGGCTACTTACTACGTAAGAAAGATAATTACATAATCTATGCAAGAAACAAAAACGGTAAATATGGAAAACGGTAAATATGGAAAATGCGTAAGCGCTTTGTAATTAAAGAAATTCAACACAAAGTAACATCTCTCCTGTCAAGGAAGCACAGCATGAACAAGAGTCAGAAACATTAAAGCTGATTCACTCGTGGGAAAATAAATCAGTCATGCGTCGCTTAACAAAGGACACGTGTTCTGAGATGGTCGTCAGGGATGTCGTCGCACTGCGCAGCGCCCTGACACGCACCTGGGCCATGGCACCGCCAATGCACACCTGGGCCATGGCACCACCTATGATAATCTCCTGGGACCCCCGTCGTACATGGGGTTGGTCCATTGTTGACCAAAACGTCACTGTTTGGCACATGACTGCAGAACGCTTTCTAGAGGGCAATATGGTAGCATTTACATAAATCCTTTAAAACTGATATGAGTTTTGGCAAGTAACACAACTCACGGCAATTCTTATGGCAATAATTCAGCTGCCAGCACCATTTAGAGAAGGAAATTTGGAAAGATGCTGACGTCTAACCATGGGGGACTTACCAATAAGCAATTTAGTACTCGACGGATTACTATGCAGCCATTAAAAAATATCAAATGTCTTTATTGACCTGAAGATCTTATTGAAATATTACACAAGAAAACAGTTAGGTAACTTTAAAAACAAATGCGTTTATAATCCAATTTAGCTTCTGCATGTCTATCTACGCAGACGTCTATTTACAGGCACAGCAAAGGAATGACAGGTCGCCTGGGTAGCTGAGACGATGAGTAAGTTTTTAAAAAATTTTTCCCTTTTTAGGCCGGCCCGTGACTCACTCGGGATAGTGTGGTGCTGATAACGCCAAGGCCACGGGTTCGGATCCTATATAGGGATGGCCGGTTCGCTCACTGGATGAGCGTGGTGCTGACAACACCAAGCCAAGGGTTGAGATCCCCTTACCTGTCATCTTAAAAAAAAAAAAATTTCCCTTTTATTTTCATTTTCCGAGGTTGCTACAATGAAAATACACCACTCATGTAACTCGTGGAGCCACGAAGCTCCACTTTCCCCGGCTCCTCCAGAAGGTGCGCATGCAGGGAAGGCAGAAATAGCGGGGTCTGAGGGTACTTCCATTAC